TATATTAGGTATAGTGAGATTCCGTTAGATTATGTCGAATTCTAGAACATATAATGCTTTTAAATTATAACTTGACCCCATCTACATTGAGATGCTGGCACAATATGACGAATTCTAGAATAATGCTTTTAAATTATAACTAGACTATCTCTGCATGGAATTCTGAAGAGTTCAGTAATCTAGCCTCCAGCACTTTTTGAATAATTTTAAGTATTAATAATAAACAGAAAGTGAGATACTGACATTATGACAAGTTCTAGAATATATAATGCTTTTTAATGATAACTAGACTATGTCGGCATGTAATCTCGAAGAGTTCTAGTCTCTAGCACTCTTCAATTTTTTTTAACTATTAATAATAAAGAGAAATTATAGACTATAGTGAGATGCAGTCATATTATGATGACTTCTAGAATATGCAATGCTTCTTCATGATAACTCGTCTCTCTCTGTATTGAGAACCAAAGAGTTCTAGCCTCTAGTACCTACTTTCAAATAATTTTAAGTATTAATAACAGAATTTATAGACCATACTGAGATGCTGTCACATTATGACAAGTTTTAGAATTTATATAACACTTATTAATGATATATTGACTCTTTCTGCAATGAAACCAGAAGAGCTCTAGCCTCTAGCACTTTTTCAACAAATTTAAGTATATGACGAGCTCTAGAACATGAAATAAATGATATAATATGAATTTATGTTTGTTATTAATACTTAAAATTATTCAAAATTGCTAGAGGCTAGAACTTTTAGCGATTCCATGCAAAGATAGTCTAGTTATCATTTAGAATCGTTATATATTCCAGAACTCGTCACAATGTGCCAGCATCTCACTATGGTATATAATGTCCGTTTATTATTATCAGAATTATTCAAAAGTGCTAGAGGCTAGAACTATTTGGGTCTCAATGCAGAAAGGGTCAAGTTATCATTTAGAAGCATTATATATTCTAAAATGATTGAAAAAGTGCTAGAGGCCCAAAGAGTTTTAGGTTTCAACGCAAAAAGATTTATGTTATCATTTAGAAGCATTATATATTCTACAACTCGTCATAATATAACAACATATCTCACTAAATTTTTTGTGTATTATTAATACTTAAAAATATTGAAACATTCCGAGAGGCTAGAATTCTTTGGGTCTCAATGCAGGGAGAGTCAAGTTATCATTTAGAAGCATTATATATTCTAGAACTCGTCATAATGTGCTAGCATCTTACTATTGTATATAATTTCTGTTTATTATTAATATTTAAAATTATTCAAATAGTGCTAGGGGCTAGAACTCTTCGCAACTCCATGCAGTTATCACTTAAAAGCGTTACGTATTCCAGAACTCGTCATAATGTTCCAGCATCTCACTATGGTCTATAATTTCTGTTTGTTATTATTACTTAAAATTATTGAAAAAGTGCTAGAGGCTAGGACTCTTCGGTTCTCAATGCAGAGAGTGTTAAGTTGCCATTAAGAAGCATTATGTGTCCTAGAAGTTGTCATAATATGACAGCATTTTACTAACGTCTAAAATTTATATGAATAATAATTATTTATAATTTTTTTAAAAGGGCCATAGCTATAAATGAAATAATTTAGCTAAGCAAACTAACAAAGAACTTTAGAGCTATTCGTAAACTATCAATTTACCGTGTGCTTTTTTTTATTTTATTTATTATATTGGGATGATAACTTCCGGCCCTTAGCATCTCACTTTTTAAATTGCAGTTTTCGTTACTAAAATAGAACTATTGATAGAAAGTATCAGGAACTATAGAACTATAGCGGATGCCATAAGAACTCTGCTTAAAATATGAGATGCTGAGATTTGAGATGCTAACTTCACATACCCCTGTTACTTTCTCCACGGCCACAGATACAGTAGGAATTGAATATAGTAAAATTAAACTTTGATCAAAATGAAATATATAATCTAACTTATGTTAGGCAAGTTTTTATTTAAATTATTTGCATAATTTGTCAGTTCAGGAGGAATATTATCAAATTCCATACAAGAATCATTATATTCAACAATTTTTGAATTTAAGTTGACTTAACAAACGCCATTTATCTTTATTCAGGCAAATTCAAACTAAATACTAATACATCGCGTAGAACTGTCATGAATTTCATGACTATCTACGATGTGGGCGCGGTATTACATAATGAACCTTCTGTCTCTAGAGTTAGAATGATGAACTACGTGTAAAACACAAAAAAGACAAGTGTTTTAGAAATTTCTAGAAGGAGAATGTTCTCTGCTTGTTATTATAAGTGGTTTTGGAAGAACTACATTCAGTAGTGGCCGTGGAAAAAATCATTAAGTAAATTACTTGTATTGACGTACAATGGGCTGATTTTTAAAATTTAATTAAATAATATAATTTTGTAATTTTGGACATAATAGAGCTATTAGAGTTTTCAGGAAACATTTTTCACATAGACTTTAACAAAATTGAATTTATGCTATTAAAACAAGTATACAATTTTTGTTTAAATTAATCATAAAGGCTAAAAAAAATTAAAAATACCAAGAATAAAGAAATTGATAAAGTGATTGTCTAATCTCAAAATTATGCTGGCCCAAAAATATTATACTAACAAATTTCAAGTCAATAGGTAAATAGTAATGAACAGGGGCGTGGCTACGAGGGGTTTTGGGAATCAAAACCTCCTACAGTTGATCAGAAAGTATAAATACAAACACGAAAATTAATATAATTGTAATCTCATAAAAAGTAATAAATATATGTATTGTTTCTTAATTTAAAATCACAAAACCCATTATAAATTTTCTGGCTACGTCACTGGTAATGAAAATATTAAAATATTTCAAAACAACTAAAAACAAATTTTAACTTAGTCACCCTGTAGTAGATAATATTTGATTCTGTGTTATTTAGAAAAATATTAATATTTTGAGATCCTGCATCACTCTGTATACAAAAAGTAAATTTTTTTTTTCATTTTATTCAAACAAATTCTTGAAAATCTCAGTGCATTATACAATTCCATGTTTAAATTCCTTAACAATGTTTCTTGTATACAGGATGTAACAAAAAGATGTACAGTAAATATAGTAAAAAAGTGTAGAAGTGATATTTTTTGATGTTACTGAAAATGTATACATGGGATTTTAATATAAGGTTGACCAATAAAATTGAATTAGTGGCACCCCTTTGACCCTCCTTCTTTTTTAGACAATGAAATTTACTTAAAAACAAATCCTACAACTGTTTTTATTTGTTTGTGAAAGCCTACATCTGTTGCTCACAAATATTGACCCCACATTGAGAATAATCAAAAAAATACTATAAATATATGTACTACAGAGTGTTCCATTTAAAAACAAATGAAGGAGTGAAAAATTATTAATTTTATGCATTCTGAATATTGTTTTCGACAACTATTAGCGTTATTTTTGCAAAATATAATGTGTCCAAATTTATTTAGGGTGGACAAATTTCATTAAAACTTACTGTATATCGAGAATTAACAGAAAAAATTTAAATTGAGGTATAATATTTTATACAACGTTTATAAAATTTGTTCTCAAAATAAACTAAAAAGAATAAATAAATTATGTAATAATATGGTCTAAATTGCGGATAAACATAAAAAGAGATCAAAATAAAACTCATTAGAGTTTATTTCCAACATAGGTTTGGCTTTCCTGTTAATTTATCTATTTTTACGCCAATCTGGTTATTAGCGACATATTATACAGTAATCTGTTTTTTTTGCGAATTATAATACATCAATGTAGTGCGTATTTTTGGCAGTCAATTCCACAGGTTAATCTATTTTGAAAATGTCGATGTACTTGAATTATTTACTATATCTACTCAGTTATTCTTACGCCATTTTGAAAATAGTTGTAGCACAGTAAAATAGTTAAGAAAGTATACATAGTTTTACATCATAAAAGTATATTGAATAAATGAATTTAGTTGAGAAACAGTTTTAAACATTTCAAAATCGCATTAATTATAAAAAAACAGTAATAATTTTTTTTTACAAGTTGCTCTAAAATATTTACCCCTCACTAAGGATAATCAAAAATTTACTATAATTATTTATATACTACAGGGTGTTCCGTTTAAAAACAAATAAAGGAGTAAAAAATTATGAATTTAGTGCCTTCTGAAAATTATTTTCGACAACTAGGTTTATTAATATTTTCGCAAAATATAATATATCAAAATTTAGTTAGGGTGTATAAATTTCATTAAAACGTACTGTATATCGAAGGTTAATAGAAAAAAATGTTAAAATGGTATATTATTTATTTACAACGTTTCTAAAATTTGTTCAAAATAAAATAAATAGAATAAATATATTATGTAATAATTGGGGATAAACACAAAAAGAGATCAATGTAAAATTCAATAGAGCTTATTTCCAACATATTTTTGACTTCCCTGCAAAGTTGATTTATTCTTAACCCTTGATATAATTGAAATATGTCGACATATTATAAAGTAGCCTGTTTTTTTTTTAATTGGAAAACATCAATGTCCTGTGTCTTTTTGGCAGTAAATTGAACAAGTTAAGCTGTTTTTGAAAATGTCGATATATTTGAATTATTAACTAAAGTCGATTTTGAATCATCAATATTAAGAAATGAAAAATCCACCCCCTTGGAAATACACCCTTTTAGGCTTACCATGTACAAAATAAGTTGAAAAAACAGTGAAGGTGTCCAAAATGTCCACAATAATACACCTTTAAGTTAATTTAAAAAGCAATATATTAGCATTGTTAATAACTTACTATTCAAAATAGTTCTTGCCGATGAATTTACTCAGTTTAAGAGAATTTAATCAGTTCAGGAACAACACAAAGTACTTAACTCGATATTTACACAATATCAAATTACCGTAACACACTTTTATTCAACAATCACAAGTAAATTACAATAATATACATATATAAAGAAGTCTATAATAAAGTATCTTCGCATTTAACTCAAAAAAGAATGCGTCAGTTTGTGCAGAATTTATGTATTCGAATTTTCTGCGGGTTCTGACTTTAATGGTCCTATCGGGGTTGTGTTTAAAAAAGCTTGATAATAATCAACTATCGGGAACATAGGCCATTGCTGTTTATTTTCAGACTTTTCTTGTTGATCGTTGGATACGACATCGATGTCTTCTTCAGTTGTTTCTTCCCCTGAATCTGGTGCTAGAAGCGATTCCACGTCAAACTGTCTCTTTCTCGTTGTGTTTCTAGTTGAAACAATAGGAAACACCGAAGTTGATGGTCCTGGAACAACTGGAGGACTAACAGAAAGAGGTGGTGGACTAGGAGAATCCGCACCGTCCTCATCAACTGCTAACCCCATGTGTTTTCTCACTTTTCTTTGAGCTTTACGTCGTCTAAAATCTCCTTTACGAAAATCATCTACATTAGCAGGATGTATAGCCCAATAGTGGCCTTTACCGTTAGCACTTCTTCCTGCTTTGATAAAACAATCGTTCAAAGATAAATTGTGTCTAATAGAATTCCTCCAGCCAGGTCCTCTGGTTCTAAAATACGGGTAATGATCTAGAATATGCTGGTAAATATCGGATAAAACCAATTTGCAATCTGGAGAGCTCAATATCGCCATTGCTATTAATCCTATGTAGCTATGTTGTGGTTTTGGTTCTTCTGGTTGTAAAGCTCTTGGTAACAGGGGGTAGCAAGTCAAAGTAGATGGAAAGGGGTTTATCAACGGATACCTCAATCGTTCAGCGACTGCGTATTGGTATAGCTGCAGCTTATAATGATCTATAGGAAAGATGGCTCTTGGAATATTTCCATCTAAAGTGAAACGGATAGGTAACTTTGGCGTCTGTTGATTGGTGGTGTTTTCGTTGCTACACATTTTTTAAAACGGTTCGTAATGCACGGTTAAAGTCACTATTTATAACAAACTTGTTGCTGCGTAGATAAACAGTCACATATATCATTAAACATGATCCGCCATTCATGAGAGGGTAAACTATACTGTACTACTAAGGACCCGTCGGGACATCTAAACATTACAACAAACACTAACTATTTGTCGACCAATATTTGGCAACACACAGTGGGTGGAAACCCGTCTGTCCAATGAGAAAGTTCGGTCCCCTACTACGAGAGTGACAACCCCGCCTCGCCATGTTGTTAAACCGACAACGGAGGTCTCTAGATACCTCCTTTATCGTACAACAAAAGGGAGTGAGTAGCAACCCTAAAATCTTTACATTTGTGTTTACTGCGAAATCCTTAAAATTTCTGAAATTTGCATTTAGTCGATAACCTAAATAATTCCAATTATTCCAAAACTCGGAAAGCCTACGTAGATGTCTGTATTTGCAGTCTCGGTTATTAAAAAGAAAAAAAAATGAAATTGATATTACCGCGTTTATATTTCAGCTCTAAACAAACTAAAATATAAAATAAGGTATCGCATTGTTTAAAGAGTGTGTTTAAAAACACTGCATTGTATGCATATGTATTCTAAAGTAAAGGAATTTTAATAAGTAATATTTACCAGGTCTGTTCAAAAAGTCGTTACTTAAAAGAATCTTGTTTATGCATTATAAGGATCAGTACTTGAACTGGTTGACTTTATTTTTAAATAGGTTTACTAGTCTGTGAGTTTTTTAAACTAGTAACATTTTTGGTTTAAAAAAATGGAGAAAAATTTGAATAATTTTTTGAAAAAAAAGTTCGTTTTGATAAAAATGGCGAATGCTCCAATTTCCTTAAATAAATCTTGTCTTGTTTATTCAAAAAGTCTTCACTTCAAAGAATATGAATTATAAGGATCAGGACACGAACTGGTTGATTTTATTCAGATAGATATACTAGTCTGTGAGTTTTTTAAACTTGTAATATTTTTAATTTTGTAAAATTGAGAGAAATTAATACAGGGTAGTGAATAAAAATACTTTTTTTGATAAAAATGCGTTTTGATAAAAATGGCGAATGCACTAGTTTCATTAAAATAAATCTTGTACTGTAGCCTAAGTTTGTTGAGATTTATTCTATTTGTCTGTACAATCTGTTCGCTATACTTACGCGGGTTTCGGATTAAAAATTTTATGAGTATTTTCAGGTAAGTATCCGAAAGTTTGACCTATTCTTTGGGGAAATATCAACTGGTTAAATGTACAACTTTTTAATTAAATAATAATGGAAAATCTTTTGTATAATTGAGAGCAGAATTAAACTTCTTCATTAATGGAGTCTAATGTGGCTATACATAATAATAATAATTTTATATTACACTTCATACAGAAAATATGGTCTATGTATACCAAGAGGGTTATTTAACTCAAATAAAATATTTTCTAACATAAAAATTTGTTCCATGTAGAGAATTTCAAATGAAAAATAAAAAAATTGAACTTGCCAACAAAAATGAAAATCAGTCATTATCATCCAAAATATCATTATCGTCATCATCATCACTGTCATCACCATTCATTGTTATTATGATTGGACAGGCGCGGATCTGGGAAGATTTTTCGGGGGGGTAGATAATTTTATCAAGAAATCATTCGTTTATTTAAAAAATAACAAAATATACTGTACGCCAGCCTGTGCTTCTCTATTCTTCATTCGTCACAGTCATCTTGTCTTTTTTTGCTTTCTCGTAAAATCTCGTTGTTTTTAGATTACAATTTAGTAAATTCTTGGATTTGTTCGAGCAGCTCGGGGGGGGGGGGGGGTAATTACCCTATTACCCCCATCCTTATTTCCGCGCCTGTGATTGGATTTATTTCGTTTATTTTATTTTCACGAGTCCACCAATCTTCTATTAGTTTCTCGCACTTGGATATACAGTTCCGACACACTTTTGGAGTTGCAATTGAAAGTGCTTTTCGCCAAGTTTCCCGAACTGCGTCGTCACTATAACCATTAGGCCCAATATGGTTGTCATAATATTGTTTTGCTGTTCCCCATATATATATTCGATGGGATTAAACTGGCAATGATACGGTGGCAGACGTAAAACTTGATGACCGTAACTTTCAATAATCTGATTGGTTTTGCGTATATATTTGCCAAGCGTAATAATTCTGATTTTAATATATATTGAGGAAATGGTATATGTTCCTTTGTCAGCCATTCTTTAATTTTATCAACAGTCCAAGAATTCGTTGGACTTTTGTTTAATACTTCAGAATGGTAAGGTGCATTGTCTAAAATAATTACGCTGGGCTCACTTAAACCTGGGAGAAGTTTTTCATGCAATCATTTTACAAACACTTCTGTGTTCATATTATCGTGATAGTAACTGGATTTTGATTTAGATGAAAATATTAAATCAGCACCTTCTATAAAACCCGATTTCCCTCCTGCATGTAAAATTATGTGTCGCTTCCCTTCTCCATCAGTATGTTTGATGGACTTTTCGTTATCATCTTGCCATATTCTCTTGGTTGCACCCCTAGAAAATATCCATGTTTCGTCTAAATATATAAAATTCGCCCCTTCTTCTTTAAATTTAGAATATTTTCTTAGAAAGTTAATTCTCTTGTGCACGACAGAACTTCTTTCACAAAGAGCCTTTCTGTTATCCTCCTTTTGAAATTAAAAGTTATGTATCACTTGCCATAGACTTGTTCTGCCAATGTCGTCAAATTTTCTATCTATTAATTCCGAGAGAATTGTATTTATGGTCACATGTTCCTTGTTGGCCCTCATTCGATAAATGGTATCACGAATTTCAAATTTCTTTCCATCTGGAATATCTTTCGTTTTCAATGATGGGCGAGTTTTGCAGTGATCTTCTTTCGGCAGTTCACTATTGTGATTTTGTAATACTACTCTTAATTTGGTTTCACTAACTCCTAGAGCATCGCATACGCGTTGTTGTACAGATATTACCGATTTTAAAGGACCGCCATTTTCTTTTTCATCCGTAAAATACTTATGTACACTACAAATTAGACTATCTATATCTAACACACGTATAGGCATTTTTAAAATTTCCACTAAATTTACAATATACATACAATGTCAACACTTGCAAAGAATCAATTTAACTGCAATATTTGTAACAAATTTAGTAACTACCCTAATGTTATTTTAATTTAAATCTGACCATTAGGGCTATTTTACCTAATTTCTTGGGAAGAGGCTTATTGGAACTGGTTGTCAATGACTAATTTGCATAATTTTGTTAATCCGAAACCCGCAAACAGACTGTATAATATTTTTACTATATTTTGCGTTTGTCTTTCTTTTGTCGTCCTCACTGAATGACCAAAGCACATCAATGTTATCTTACTACTAATTATATTCGTAATTTGTAATTACTGAGAAATTCTCAAAATTTATGAAATTTAAATTTTTGTCTGTATTTGCAGTCTATATGTTATTAAAAATGAAACTGATTTTACAGCTTTTATATTTTTGCTCTAAACAAACTAAAATATGAAAGAATGTAGCCCTTTTTTTAAAAACACTGCATTGTATTTATTTTTCTAAAATTAAGGCGTTATAATAAAATATTTACCAGGTCTGTTTAAAAAGTTGTAAGGATTACAAGGATCAGAACTCTAAATAAATAGCTTTTATATACGTATATTAGTGTGTTTTTAAATTGGTAATATTTTAAATATTTGATACAGACATTATTACAAGAGGTTGAAAAAAATTACTTTTTTAAGAAAAAATGCGTTTTTATAAAACGGCGAATACACCATTTTATTTAAAATACGTTTTATTGCCTTGTAGCCTAAGTGGTTTCTTGTAGTGATTTTAGGGTATTCAGATCTTTTTATTTTTCTCTATAATATTTTTGTTCTATTTATATCTAGTTCCATTATATTTTTTGCCTTCCTCTCTTACTCCTACTCATTTCAATATATTTCTTTTATTATCCTAATTCTATTCTTAATTTGTTATTAATAATAATATTATAATAATAATAATACTCTCTCTATTTACCCCCTTACGAGTCAAATTTTAACCCCAGAAGTAGAGCTTGTGTGGGGTAAGGATGGCTATTAATATTACTTGCCGTGGCGACCCGGGGCAACTTACAAATGATTGATGGTGTCATTTGACTTATAGATAAGGAAAACCCGAAAACCTCACCCACCATCATCGCCACGGTAACTCACTGGGATTACTCTGCACGTCGTATTAACAGAAATTATTTCAGTCACATAGACTGACTCAAACAATTATAAAACAACAACTGAGAGTCCAAAATAGCTGTCAAAAGATGCGCAATCGCATTCCCTTGTTGTTATTGACGAATGCTGTCAACCTCATTTATATGTTTACTTTAAACAAACTAAAATGTAAAAAATGTATACCATTTTTTTAAAAAGTGTGTTTTAAAAACACTGTATTGTATTTCTTTTCTATAATAAAGGCATTTCAACAAACAATATTTACCTGGTCAATTCAAAGTCGCCACTTGAAAAAAAAATTGTATATATATTGTACATTATATGGATCAGGACTCAAACTGGATCACACAAGTCTGTAAGTTTTAAAAATTGTACTATTTTTGATTTTGGAAAATTGTCAGAAATTAATACAGGGATTGAATAATAATACTGTTTTAAGAAAAATTGCGTTTCGATAAAAATGGCGCATGCACAAATTTCTTTAAAATAAATCTCCTTACCTAAGTTGCCTAAGTTGTTGACGTTTCTTGTGATAAATTCGGAGTATTTTGATCTTGTTGTTTCTTTCTATAATATTTTATTTTTATCTATCTTTTCTATTTTTTGGCTGAGTTTAGATTTCATCTTTTCCATTTAAAATTTCTAAATCACTATTCCATTCTAGTTTATGCCTTCCTCTCTTATTCTTACCTATTTCAACATCTTTTTATTATCTTTCTTCTATCCTTCATCCTCACTGAATGTCCAAAGTTGTTCATGTAAAATATCGGAACTCCTAATTCTATTCTTAATTTATTACAGAGAAATCCTCAAAATTTATGAAATTTGTTTTTTAGTCTATAACCTAAATAATTCAAAT